CGTGAGCTACCTGATGGACTTCACAGCGGGCTGGGACAGAGCTCACCCTGCTGCAGGGGCTCTATCTGGCGGAGGGGGTTGCTGGGGCAGCCGGCCGACCGGTCTCAGACCCCGGGCTTCAGACTCAACCTCCCTTGGCCCTGCCCTGGAGAACTTGGCCGGGTTGGACGGGCTGGGTCCATAGGAACGCCTTACCAGCCGGTCATGCACAGCTTCTCCCAACAACTCCTCCATCACGGCCCCTTCCTGTGCAGATCATCCAGGTAAACCAGTGCCCTGGAATGACGTGGGGACCCTGGTTTAGAGCCAGGGGAGCCCGGGTGGAGTAGACGCTGCTGGTCCTGGCCCCGGTGCCCTGCACTGGGCCAGCACCCCTGTCCTCTGACCGATGTGAATGCTGCTGGCGCCGGCCCATTGCTGCACCTTTCTCTGGAGAGCGGGCCCCAGCCCGTAGGAGCCACTGTAACCACAGACGCTTAGGCACATACGCCCTTTCCCACCCACCCACCCACAGCCCCGGGACAGCTGACAGCCAGTACTGTGGGACAGAAGGCCAGCTCCTGGTCTCATGGTGAGACCCTGTGCTGAATTCACGCCTGGAGCTCCCTGCAGTAGTAGAATGAAGCGAGGCCCCGGTTAAAACTCCCTCTCTGCTTAGCCCCTCCCCCTGCTTTCTCCTGCTTCCTTCACTCCCTTACCAGTTTCTCTTGGGGGCTCTCCCCCCAGTAGTTCACCTGCCTAAGGATCCTCACAGGAGGCTCCGCTTATAAGGCAATAGTGAGCTTCTGAGCTCCCTCCCACTCCCCAACTGTGTGGACTCAACTCCGCAACAGTTGGGATAATGGTCAGTATCTCCCAGGAGACAGCCACAGAAGGTACGAAGCTTAGCAGCAGGAAGTTGGTCCTGGTGAAGAGAACTGAGGTTCTACCAGAGCGATGCCTCAGCAGCCCCATCCACTGATCGAATCTTGATTGGGTAGCCACTGCGGATCTAGCAGCTGCGTGGCACGGAGGGACCCGTTGGGGCGTGAGAGAAATGCAGTGCCTAGTCGGGCCCTCTAAATTAGGTCCAATCTCTTCTCCCCCAACCCCGCAGACCCTTTTAGGGCGGCCACACGGTGGTGATGGAGTGAGGACACGGAACCTTGGAAATGCTTTTAATTTCTTTTAATGTATAACAGTTACGCCTGAGTTACAGAGGAAGCGCTTACAAGCAGGTAGTTAAAGCAAATGCCAGTTTCTCTTTCTAGTCTACTACTCCATATAGCTGAATAAATTATGGTGCGATTATATTTAAACACACACGCCCTCGCGGCCACACGCACGCCCCGCTCACACTCTCATGCACACATACACTTCCACGTGGAGGGAAACAGCTGCTGAGTCACACACGGAAGCAACCAAGTTGCAGTTACTAGGAGGAAGGAATGATCTAGAGTGCTATGTAGGTATTCCCCGGGCAGGGGATCGGCCGCGGCCGAGTCGGCAGAGAAAGCATTCGATGCATGCTGCCTCTGAGCATGTCAGGATGGCGGCCGGAGAACCCCCGTTTGGTCTTGGCTTGGCGCCTCTGCAGGAGGGGAGAAGACCTGCAGACCTCAAAACGTGTCCAGTAGGGAAGGGCACATTTGGGAGCCGGAGGAGAACATCAGTCTGAGAGAGGCCCCAGAGAAGGTCTTTTGGGGGGCAACTATGGAGTTTCAGCAAGTTCCGGAATCCAAAGCGCCGTGGACAACAACATTGGATTTCGGTGGAGTGGTCAGCGTCTGGGGCCTGACCCATTCTCAAGCAGCAGTCAGACTGGACACCTGACCTCCTCATCTCTCTTCCGGGCAAACCTCTCTTCATTCTTCCCTTCTCTCTCGCTCCCCTGTCTCTCCTCTCCTTCGTGTTCCACTGGCAAAAGAACGGCAACGTAAATCGAGTAAAAAATAGAGAGTATAAAAGCATAGCTTGGTTCTTACACATCACTTCTTTTCCCTTTTCATAGCAAGACAGAAATACCAAATGAAAAAAAAAAACAAAAGCAATACAAATGAAAGGACCCAACAGAACCTGGAATGCATAATTTGAAACACACGATATGCAGATACATCCCTACAGGTGGTCCCTGGCACTAGCACAACACGCACTGTGGGGGGGGGTTCTGTCCTTGTTTAGTATATATATTTATATATAGAAAAGTCCACTTCCTATAAACGAACAGCACATCACCACGTTTCCAACTAGTGTACAATGAGCTCAGAAGAGGGGCTGCCCGTAGGGAGGACCAACAGCTACTTGTGATCGGTTGGAGGGAACATCTTATTTTGCTACAGACTCTATTTACAGGGGTGCATGGGGGGTTGTTTCTGGGCTGGCCCAGCCCCTGGGATTCAGGTCTCCTTTCTCAGGCTGCGCTCAACCCTCAAGAGTGTGGGGCCTCGCACCTCTCACCCCACACCCTCTGTCTGGTTGAGTTGTGAGCTGCCAACACAAGGCCGAGTTTTACAGGCGGGGTTGGCTAAACAAAGCAATACATGGGCACTTAGGAGAAAACCTGTCTGGGTCAGGGTCTCTTTCTGAGGGGAGTGGGGGCCCCCGGTGGGTGGGGAGTAAGTCCTACATTGTAGCAAGATGGTGGTTTGGGAGAACTCCAGAGAGGCTGGGCGTGATGAGAAATCATTTGGTTTATTCCCATATTTCATCATGGGGGGCAGAGATTGGGATTGGTCCCTGCAGTGGAATGTCACCTCCTGGGGGTAGAACTGAGCAGTTTCGATGTCACCTGCCTGACATCCCTTCGCCTGGGGAATGGGGTAGAGAGAGGCTCAGGCGATTTCTGAGCCAGGCCTCCAGGAGGAGGGTCGGCCATTGGAGGAATGTGAATGAAGACTGTGACTGATCTTAAGGAAGAGCTGTTTCCTGGCTGTGAGAGCTGCGGAAGCATGGACTGGGCCACCAGGGGATGGCACAGTCTTCCTTCTTGTCCGGAGCTGAAAGAGCCCAAAGTCTCCTGAGACAGATGTGCCAGCGGAAACCTGGGCTGAACTTGATGGGCCACACCACACGGCTTGGGTGTCCGCTGCTACCAGAGAGTCTGTTTGTCCCCAACTATTAATAGGTTCTTCTAAACCAGAGATACGGGCCACCCTCCCTGGCAGGGTCCAGGATGGGTGTGGTGTGCCTGAGTCTGAAGGCGAGAGACAAGTGAGCATTATTATTCACAGAGGTGGCATCCATGCAGGAAAGTGTCCCGGCTCCCAGGATGGAGGAGCTCAGCTCAACTCTCAAAGCCGCAGCCCAGCCCTCTGGGAATGTCTCGTCAGCTGAGGGCGAGAGGCCGGGCTGGAGCGAAGAGGTGGCCTCCCGTGCCCAGATGGGGACAAGCCACTTGGTCCAGTCCTTGTGGATTTGGTGCTGTGTCTCCCGTCACAGTGCCTTTAACCCGGCAGCACTTGAGAAGGGCGATCCGAGTGTAGATTACAACGATGGTGACGGTGAAGATGAATCCAGTTTGGATAAGCGGGAAGGCGGTGCAAAGTTCCAAGGGAGGCGTAGTCAGGGGCGTGAACCCTTCCCCAGAGGTCCTGACTCTAAAGAAAAGGAGCTTGAGGGGCCGCTGGAGTGGCTGAGGAGGGCATGTCCCTCTGCTCCAGAACTGTCGGCATCCCCCTCCGCCCAGGGGTGGCGGTTTGAAGACCACCGGCCTCTGTCTCCTAGCTCAGCACCGCTGTGCAGGGAGTGCTGCGCTAGGAGACAGAGGCCTCTTGGCCAGGAGTGAGTCAACACTGGAAGACGCCACTCTGGGTGGGACAGGGACATGTCCCCTTCCCCCAAGTGCCAAGGGGAATCAGTGGAGCAAGTAGTCCCTGCTGGTCCAAGAACGCTTCTCCAGAGCTCTGGGCACCACCCCCGCCCCCCGGCCCCCGGCAATTTGAAGGGACTCCCCGGCAGATGGAGGCCCCGTCCTAGAAGACGGAGCCTGCAGCTCGGGTCTCTGCGGAGGCTTTGTGAGAAGTCAAAGCTACGCTGAGTTGAAGCCTCTGACAACAAAGGGTTGCTGCCCGCAAGCAGAGGGACCCCAGTTACAAACCCCCTTCTGAGCTGCCCTATGCCTCTCCACTCCGGGGTCCTCGACAGTTGATCCCTTCCCCCCTCATCCGATCCAGTGAATGTGAACACTGAGGGTTTTGTGGGCTCCCCACGCCCCACACGGGGTGGGTGAAATTGAAACTTGGGCTTCAGCATGAAAGCCAGCTGCTTCTGGATGCCGTATTGGGTCCTTGTATCTTGGGCCACTCTATGGGTGACGAGCCCCGCCCCCACATGGCCCCACCCCCTGGTTAAGTCCCTTCCTGGTTTTCTCAGCTCCCTGCCCCTGCTGGATTCCCCCCTCCACCCAACAGAGGTGTGTGGGGAGGGTCCCGAAGTCCTCAGAACTCCTGGGCGACTTCCCTGGGAAACCCTAGGGCTCGGTTCCCTCTCTGTGCAGTCCCAGCGTCCAGAGGAGGAGTGGGCTGAGGTTCCGGCCCTGGGCCAGGCACCCACCTGGAGGGACTGGCTCCCAGCACTTCCAGCAGGGAGCAGCCTGCGAGCTCCGCCCCTGCCTCTGGCCAGGGTACCTGCTGGAGTCCAAGGGCCCCAGGACCTCAACCCAAACACCACCCTCCCTTGGGTGCTCATGGTGCTCTATTTGGGGGTGACCTCCCATGCCTGTGCCTCAGCCGGCACAGAGGCCGCGACAGCGTTGGACTGGGCAAGGACAGTGGGCTGACCAGAAACCCTCCCAGGGAGAAAGTACAGGGGCAGACTCCAAGGTGGGGGGCACTCCAGGTCTCCAGCCGCAGGGGAGGGAGGGACCAGCTGCGCATGCCCAGAGGGCTGGCTGTGAGAAGGGAATGGGCTCCTTGCCTGGCCTCCTGGGACCCCCAGGGCCAGGAGGGGACTGAGGCTGGGAGGTTGGGGGAGCAGTGAGGGCTGAGCTGGGGCATGGGGTGGGGCAAGTCGCCCCAGGGGCCCTAGTAGGCCTGGCCAGTCTCCACCGGCAGGAGTCCCAGCACCGCGGAGTGCTCCCCGAGCTTCATGCGGCGCTGCGTGGAGAGGCTCACGTTTTTGGCCAGGTAATCAACAGCAGCTGGAAAGACAAAAAAAAAAAAGAAAACTCCTAGAAATTAAAGTTCTTTTTCCTATTCTTCTATCTGCCCTGTATCTAGCCATCAAGCCATCCACCCACATACACACCCATCCATTCATACATAGATCCCTCATCCATTCCTTTATCCATCCATTGGTTTGTCCGTCCATCCATCCATCTCATCATAAAGCTCTTTCTTCTCACCTCTCTCCAATCATTCAGCAAATATTTACTTAACACTCAATAATAATAACAATAATAATAATTAGAACCTCAGCTCTCTCGCGGGTCCTGTAGGGAGGTCCAGAGGACACCCACATTGCTGAGTGAAGAACTGGTCCGCCTTCAGTGAGCATCCCCCGGGACCCAGGTGGTAACCAGGGCAAGGTCCTTCTGCCTTCTTTGGGCCCCGAACCGAGCTCGCGGAGCAGGCAAAGCAAGGCCCCTTACTCAAAACTTAAAGCTGCTTTCGCAGTTGAGTTGAGTCTGTTCAGGGGAGGAGCCAGGGCCCTGATTTGCAGGAAGCTGAGACTGTCAGCCTTGTCAATTCTGGTCACCCAGGGGAAAGGGATGAGAGTTTGAGGTGTGTGCTCATGTGTGTGTGTGAGAGAGAGAAGAGTGGAAATGAGAATCCTGGTGAGGTAGCAATGGGTGTGAACATGAATGTTCCCACGTGAGCAATCGTGCACAAGTGCATGTGCACGGATGTGGGTGAGTTGTGTGCACCCGCATGAGCGGAACTGTGGGAATGCTTGTGCATGGACAGGTAACTGTGCACAGGTGAGTTCCACCTAAGCCATGCACATGTGTCAGAGTGTGTGCGTGCACAGGTACAACTGCGCGTGCACGTGTTGTCTGGGCTGTGTTAACTGCACCTGCCTGAGGCCACGGCAGAAATCAGCCCTGACCAAGTGATCAGACTGGCGTGTGACCAAGGCCTCCCGAGGCCCACAGATGCTGCTTCCCGAGCCAGAATCTCGGCTGTGGCCACTGCCCTGCCCCCCGGGACCTCTCAAATCCAAGGGTGAGAGGAAGATGGACAGAGCGTTGCACCAGGGATCACGAGGCTGAGCCCAACACTAGCTTTGTCACCTGCCCACTGAGGGACGCTGTGACATTCTGCACGCCTCCCTGAAGCTGAGGGCTCTGCCCAGGGTAGGTGGGTGGAGCCAGGAGGTGATGGGGAGGGCCAGAGGGCAAGGCCCAAGAACTGAGCTACAGAAGGCCACATTGCCTTGGGGTTCAAATGACCTAGGTTCAGATCCTGTGCCTGCCAACTCTGTGTAATTTTGAGTATCCCACTTCACCTACCCAAGCCTCAGTTTCCTTGTCTGTAAAATGGGGATAAATAATAATGGCACTTAGGCTGAAGAGCTGTGGTGAGAATAAAATGGGAAATGCATATAACGTGGTTGGTTGGTTAGCACTGTGCCTGGCACACAACGAGCTCAGCAGACGTGGGCCGCTAATTTAATAATCAGATGTGGAGCCCTGGCTGGCGTCGCTCAGTGGATTGAGCTCCGGCTGGGAACCAAAGTGTCGCAGGTTTGATTCCCAGTCAGGGCACATGCCTGGGTTGCAGGCCACGGCCCCCAGCAACCGCACATTGATGTTTCTCTCTCTCTCTCTCTTTCTCCCTCTCTTCCCTCTCTAAAAATAAATAAATAAAATCTTAAAAAAAATCAGATGTGACCTCCGAGGGGGCAAGAAGGAAAGTGAAGAGGGCAATACAGAGCCCCAACTACCTCCTGTGCGCGTGGCACTGGGCGAATCCCCTTGCCGTTCCAGACCTGTTTCCTTGCCCACTCAATGGAAAGAACAAGTTCTATCCTCCAAAAGGGCTGTGATGAGGATCAAGTGGGACAATGTGCTTTAAGATGCTGAGCACAGAGGGCTGGCGCAGGGCAGGGCCCCCTGGATTCCTAAAGAAGGTGCACAGGTCCTGGGCTGGGTCCTGGGCTGAGCGCTGGGTGGTGCCTGAGGTCACTCCTTCTTTACTCTCCCAGCTGGTTGGGCAGAGGTGGTGGGGGCCAGCCCTGCCCTGTCTGGGTCAGCCCCTTACTTTGGGTGGGCGTAGCAGAATCTCCCATCTCTAGCCTCAGGGGACCCTGTTCCTCTGGCCACACCCTCTCTGCAGCCTGCTGCTGCCTTATCTGGGCTCTTGGGCCCGCCCAATGGGGAGGAGTCTAGTTTTCAGAGTCGCCATGGGAACAGGAGGAGGAGGAGCTAACGTTTACTGAGAGCTTGCTCCTGTCCTAGGCAGTTTCCATGCACCATCTCACAACAGCTCTCTGAGGCTGGTAGTATCATCATTACCCCCTTGTAACAGATGAGGAAACGGGGACCCCTCCCTGAGAAACGGCATAATTTGCAGGATTACGTGGCTGCTAAGCTGTGGAGCCGGGATTCAAACCCAGCAGTCTGATGTGGCTCCTGACCACCCCCACGACTTCACCCAGCAGCCTCCTACAGTATAATAACCCCAGCACTAAGAGTGCACGGGGCACACCCCAGATCCTGCACTGGCCTCCTTTTCCACTCTGGAAATGTAAGTGACTTCTCCAAGGGCACAGGGTCAAGGGTGGTGACCCTTCCTGAATCACCCCAGGCTCCACGCACCCCTCCTTACTCCACATGATGCCGCCCTCTGATGCCAGCCTCTCCAGCTCTTCCTACGGATGGGGCGGGTAGGTCTGGCTTTGGATGACAGTGATGAGAACAACAAAGGGAGATCCCCTGCCTGCCCATGTACGAGCCCTTGCTATGGGCCAGGCGGACGAGGTCCCACTGAGTTCTTTCAACAGCCCCAGGCTGTAGGTACGGCTGCTCCCATTTTACAGAGGTGGACACTGAGGCGCAGAAAGACTTGCTGGCCCAGAGCCACGCCCCACGCGTGAGAGGGCAGAGCCTGAGTTGTCCTGTTTGCTCCTCTGATCGCTCTGTCCCTTCCTCTTTAGCTTCTCCCAGTTACCAGCCATGGCCCCAGCACACAGTAGGAGCTTCCCCAGGCCCCACCAAGGTGCGCAAGAAGCCAAACTCTACTGCCGACCCGGCCAATGCCAAGGGCACCCGGAGTGCCGCAGAGCCTGCCTCTCCCCGGGGCGCAGCCGGGGGTCGGCGAGGGCGGGGCTGTGGCATTTCTCATCACGGCCTCCATCAGCGGCCCTCCCTGTCCCTCTGTCCCTCTGTCTCTCCGCGCCTCCCCTCCTCTGCCTCGCACCCACTCTCGGGCTCCAAACGTCTCAAATTAGATTAATCGGGAGTTGGCAGGAGATGCGGCCGTGATGCCAACCGGTAAACAAATCTCAGCCGTCAGCATCTTGTCAGCCCGCGGCCCCAGAGGAGGACCCTTCCAGACACCAGTTCTTATTAGAGTTGTCAGATCTATTAAAATTCTTTTCACACTTCTGCGTTCTATCAGCCCCGTCATTAGTGCGGCCCTGGCCTCTGGGAGCACCAGGGCCATATTAATCTGCCGCGTGCCCTGTCCCTGTCCCCCTACCCCGACCCGCTCTGGGGACAGGGCAGAAAGACAGATGGACGGACAGCGGCCGGGGGCAGGAGAGGAGGGTGTGGCGGTACCCCCGTGCCGGGGAGAGGGCGTGCACTCTGCCCTTTAAGGGTCTGGCCCGTGTGCATGTGCCGTGCACACCTGAAGGCGAGGCCCTCTGGGGCGGGGCCGTGGGTGGGGCCATGCACATACGCAGACGCACACAGCGGTGTGACCTCGGGCGAACCACCTCTCCGGGATCCCATTGCCTCATCTGTCCACCGGGCATCACACTATACCGGATGGCTGCGAGGGAGGGCTGCCAGGCCCACAGTAGATGCTCAATAAAAGGCCATTTCTCCTTCCTTCACACACACACACACACACACACACACTTCTGTATCTTACACCTCGAAGCCATGCACATACACATACTCACGAACACTCTTGTAGAAGTTACTCTCTGTGTGTGCGCCTCTGTGCAGCCCAGGTGGGTGTGAAGCCATGAATGTTAGGGAGGGAGATGCTACAATGGAACATTTTGAGAAGGCTGAGTCTAATCCCCGGGCCCCTATTTCACAGATGGCAAAACTGCAGCTCAGAGAAGCAGAGTGCCTTGCCCACTCTCCGGGTGCCAGTGGGGCAGACTCCCTCAGGCCCCTCCCAGCCCAACCCCAGAGCCTCTGTGGGGTGGGGTCGGGTCTCATGCTCCTTCCCTCTGGGCTGGGTGGGGCTGGAGATGTGCTCTGAGTCAGGAGGAGGAGCCAGGGGAGCAGGGGTGGAGCTAGAGGGGGGTGGGAGTGGGGCCCAGGGGGGGAGGGATCCCTGCTGCCAGCTTCTAGGAGCAGAGGGGAACAAACACTCCTTTCTCGCCTCCTGGGCCCTTTCCCTTTTGATCCCCCCTCCCTCACCACCCCTGTGCTGACTCGGGGTTAATTTTATTTCCGAGCTGGGCAGGCGCCCCTGGAGCCGGGCACGGGGCTCCGGGTGTGACTAACGCCTGCCCCAGGCCGGGGCTCTAAACTCTTTATCAAGAGCACATGTGGGCCGCGGCTCTGCGCCCGGGCGTGTGGCTGGGGCAGCGGTCGCCCTCGGCTCCTCTGGAAACACATGATGCGCATGGACGCACCCTACGCTCAGACGTACATGCACCCACGTGTTATTGTGCCTCCACACACTTGCTCCCCAGGTGCACACATCCACACATGGTTGTACACACAGACAACACCGTGTGTCCAAGCCTGGACGCACAGCTATATACAGGAGCACATGGCCACGCCTATGCACTCACATGTGCACATGCCCATATTTACACACGGCACACGTCATGTACCTGTCCACATACACCCTCCCAATACAGGCACATTCAGGCACACATGCACACATGTGCATAGTTACACATATGTGCACCCCACCCCCCACATCTTTATTAAACACGCCCACATAACATACACACACCACATGTCAAACAGAGGCACAGCCACAGACACATGCACACTGGAATGCACGTGTAAACACACGTTATAGCCGCACATACGTGAGCATATGTGTGCATGTGTGCTCACATAAAAGCTCATGCGCAAACCATATATGCACCATATGCTAATTTAAACTCACAAGTGTGTGAATAATCATATGCACACATCCCTGCATGTGCCACTCATGTTTACACCCCCACACACACACTCGCCTGTGCACAAGAATGTGTGCACTAACACCTGTATGCTGGAATCCTCGCAAATACACACACAGACACGCACAAACTGTAACACATCCAAACACGTATTCACTCTCATGCACACACAGGTGTGCACATTTATCATATTCAAAGATGCACATGCAGGAGGGAGCCGTGAACACAGCTGGGATGTGGAGGCCAGCACAGCTGGCCCTCATTTAGCCGTGGAGGCCAAGGTCATACGAGGAGCAGCGGGCTGGTGTGGGGAACAGGAAGCAGAGGTCAGCGAGGCCGGGCCGGGGCTGCGGCGAGGGTGGGGGCGTGTGTGAGGATGGCCTTGGGCGGGGAGGTCTCACCCTCTCTCGCCACACGCCCTTCTGATTAGTTTGACACCAGCAGGTGAGGCCTTTGCCGGGAGGTGGGGCAGGGGGAGCAGCCAGTGACCTTGGCGACCTGTGCCCTCTTGGCCTGCCCTGCCGCTGCCCCGGCCAGCAGCTGGGAGCTGGGGCTGGGCTGCCTTCGGAGCTTTTGGTCTGAGGGTTTGCATGCCCGCCTCCAAGCAGAGTGCTCAAGGGAACTGTGACTGGGCTGGGTGTGCGAGACCCGCCCAGAATTTTGGGAAACTGAGGCTGAGGACAGGGGTAGAGGACAGGACTCCAAATGCAGCAGTGCCCCGCGGCCAGGGGACAGAAAAGGGCAGGGTCCCTAAGGCCACACTGTCCCTCCCACTCCGCGGCCGCCAGCCACGGCGGCTCCGGAGCACCTGACAGGCGGCCAGTGAGACTGAGGAGCCGAATTTTACATTTTTGATTTCATTTCACCTCATTTAAATTTAAAAACTCAAATTCAGTTTAATTTCGTGGGTGGGAAACTTTTCAGTATCTTTGGAACAACGTGGGCGTGTAAACCCACAACTTCCCCAGTAGTAAATTTTAGGAAACATTAACGCAGATCAAGCGTTTCCAACGAATACTTTGTGTCTGAACAAAAACGGGATGTATTTCAAAGAGGTAGAACGAAGAAAAGAATGTAAAACATCTCATTAATAATTTTATATGGATTGTATGTCAAAATGATCGCCTTTTAGATAGAATGTGTTAAATAAAATACGTTAGTAAAAATAACTTTGCTCACATTTTTAACTTAAGTTATTAAGTTAAACATTATTTAAAAAATAACTTATTTCTCACATTTTAAAATAATGGCTTCTTAGCCCTGGCTGGGTGGCTCAGTGAGTTAAGTGTGTCGGCCCATACACGAAAAGGTTGTGGGTTCGATTCCCGGTCAGGGCACATGTCTAGCTTGCAGGTTTGATCCCCAGTAGGGGCGCCCACAGGAAGGTGATCCATCAATGTTTCTCTCTCACATCCATGGTTCTCTCTCTCTCTCTCTCTCAATAAACACATCCTTGGGTGAGGATTAAAAAATAATGAAATAAAGAAAATACAGTGTGGCTCCATGGAAATTTTAAATGCCATTTGAGGCTCATATTATGCAGGAGTGGGCAAAAGCAGGTTTACAGTTGGGAGCGGCATTCTTCTGAGCTGGCCGAGCTGTTGTAAGAATCGTAAGCTGAGTGTCTTCCCGTGGGAACGACCGTGAACCCGCTTTTGCCCAGCCCTGTGCGCCCGCGGGTCGGCTTTCCTCTGCGGCGGCGGCAGCAGCGCCACGGCAGGGGTCCAGCTCCGCATCATCCTAGAACGGCTGTTCCTCCTTTCTGGACCTCCACGTCCTCATCTGTGAGATGGGAACCCCCACCCCAACACCCCCTTGTAGCTCTCTCTATGAATAAGCAGGGGGTGGGGTGGGCAGGGGGAGGCCAGGGCGCCGGGCACTCACTCTGGCTGTACTGGCCGTACTGGTAGCCAGCCACGGGGTCCACGCTGTAGCCGGTGGTGCTGTAGGTGGGTGGGCAGTAGGACTGGGAGGTGGGCAGGCTGTCCCCCGGCTTGATGGAGTCCGCCCGCTGGCTGCAGCTGGCCGAGATGGAGGGGGCCGAGTCCAGGCCGCCGTGCAGCGGGGAGATGGAGAAGTCGGCCTGCGGCTGCGGCGGCACCGCGCTGGGGTTGCTCAGAATGCTCATCACCTGTGGGGAGAGACCATCCGCGTCGGCTGAGCGGCCGGGGTGGGTGCGTGAAGGACCCCAAAGATGCCAGCACCGCAGGGATGGCGCCAGGCCGGCCCCAGACAGGCCATTGCTGGAGGTTGTCTCTGGAGGTCCCTGCAGCATCAAGATCTTCGGGTGACCTGTCTGCTTGTCCTTGTGGGTGAGAGAGTTAGTGGCTTCTCCTGGTCAGGTTCTGACCCATGGAGGCTTCCTCTGCTGTGAGCTCTGGGGTGAGGCGGGGCCTGCTCCCCTCTCTAGCCCCAGGCCTGACTGGATGAATGAATGCCCAAGTGCACAGAGGAATGAATGAACACACTAGCTAATTATGCCTCTCTTATCGGACAGGGAGCTTCCCGAGGACAGGGACTGTGCCTCCCCCAACAGACCGGGACGCCCCGCCTTCCAGCACAAAGGTCAGAGCAGGACTTGGGTCTGTCGGCTTCAGCCCTCACCCCATGCTAGGCCAGCTATGCTTTTGACCTTGGCCAAGACCTGGTGCCCTTCTGGGAATTCACGACACCCGTGCACACGGCCAGTCTGTCCAGTGGCCTCCCCAGAACCTTTCCTCGATTCTGGCAGCCCCCAGATGTCTGCAGCCGTCCCCCCCTCCTTGAGCGGCTTGGCTCAGCAAACAGAAATCTCTCAACTGGCAACTCGGACCGACAGGGTGAGGCTCATCTCTAGAAACTCCGCTTAAAGCACCTGGTGTCGGTTCACTGGTGTGCTCACGCATTCATTCAGCAAACACGCATTGGTGGGGCCTAGACACCAGGCCTGAGGCGGAGCCCTGGGACTTCAGAGGACAGACAGCCATGGTCAGGGCCCTCAGCTCGGGGGGTGTTTGGGTCTGGGGCAGGGGGGCACAAGGCAACAGATCATCAGGGTATGGAGTGACGAGCTGTCATAAAGGCAGCTCAGGGGATGGTATGAGCCCAGAGGAGGGCCCCCAGCCAGCCAGGGGGTCCACCTGGGGGAGGTGACACGTGCTGTCCAGCTCTCCAGAAGAGACAGTGGGGAGAAGGGGGCAGGCGGCAGGACTCCCTGCCGAGTGAGAGAGCAGTCTGGGGGGGGGGGCGGGGGAGGAGGGGCCTGATCTTTGTGCCTCCAACCTGCAGGGCCCAGGACCTGGCAACCTCTGGGAATGCCACCCCCTACGGGAGGGGGGCCCCGTGCCCGGTGGGGCCAGGCTGGCTGACAGTCTGCCCGACACCAAGCTGAAGAACATGCCACTGTCCACGCTGGGCACACGGCTGTGCTCTCTGACTCCTGGTTTCCCCACCCACCTCCCGGGACACAGGGGGCAAAGGACAGCCAAGCAACGACCTTGAGGCTGATGACATCTCTGTAAATGGTTGCCTTCTCACTCTGGACTTGCCCCTGCCCCTGACGCGAGGGCATGGCCGCATCATCATCCTCAGGCCAGGAAAAGGCACGGAGCGTCTCCACTCCCCGGCTGTGCCGCCTCCGGGCGTCCCCGACCCTCTGTGGCCGCCCCATCCCGAGGGGCCGTGTGCCCTCACTCAGGTGACGCCGGCCTGACTCAGAGTGTGGCAGGGGGGCCGGATGTGCTCTGCACGGGAGGGGCTCCGTGTCCAGCCGGGCACAAGGGGGAGCGCCCAAGAGTTAGCAGCCCCACCCTGCCAGTCCCCTTCTTCCCGGCCTCCGCCTCCGCCTCCGCCACCGTCTTTCTCAGCCACAAACCCATGTGACTCTCCCAATCCAGAGCCCTACAGAGACATGTGGGACGGAGCTGTGAGGCCCATTTCTCAGATGACAAACCTGAGGCCCATGCAGGGCTGGGGCTCCTCCCCATCTCACAGTAGGGCCGGTGGGCCAGACCCCACTCGCTCTGCTGGTGAGCACCGAGACTGACTCTCAAAGATGACTTCTAGGCACGCGACCCCTATAGAGGTTCTTCCTCCAGGGACTGGCCAGCTTGTCTCCTGGGCAGCTACTGGTGGGGGTCCTTCCCCCTATGTCTCTTTCCTTGATGCTCTCAACCCACTCCCCTCAGCGCTGGGGACACCCCTCTTTTGTCCTTTACCTGCCCCGACACCTTTCCAGAGCCGGTCAGGCAAGACCTCCCCAAAACAGGCGTGATCAGTAGCAAAAAGAGCACGCCACGAGGAGAAGTAGCAGACGGCTTTCCAGGCAGGGGCACTGGCACGTGCAAAGGCCCTGAGGTGGGCGCGGAGAGTAGTGGGAAGGTCACCGGTGGGAGTGAAAACCGTGCACACCGCAAGGAGAATCCTTTGTCAGAGGGACGTGCGTGGCGCCCAGCGGCTCAGGAGGCCTCGGACCCTGGGCCATTACCAGGCAGCTCCGAATCAGCTCAGGCCCAGGGAGCTCTTGCTGTAACGGGATTGGCTCAGCGGGATTTGCCCTGGAACACCAAACCGAATCCCCATCTGGGGTAGGTGTGAATGGCGGGGGCGGGCATCTGCTCACTCTGCTCCAGAGGCCCTGGAGGCCCGTGGATCAAAGGGCTTCCATTCCACTCCATCCAGCCCGTCTCTGCGCGTCTCTGCGCATGGCAGCTTCCAAGCAAACGGGGCAGGGCTCAGCTGGCGGGAGGTGGGAGGTAGGAGCAGTGACTCCTCAAGGAAACAGACTATGACGGCCCCCACTCTGCAGATGGGGGAGTGAATGGTGCACCCGAGCGAACACAGCCGGTGAGTGGCAGGGCCGGGATATGAACCCGGGTCTCCCCGACTTCCGGCCTGTTCTTCCCCACCACCAGCAGTGCTGGCGAGGATGGACAGAGTGCAGAGAGAGGCTCTCGGCAGCCCGCGGAGCAGAGCCCCGCAGGCCCGGGTGGCCCTCCAGCCTCCGGTTGGCCTGTGGACTCCCCCGAGTCCCTTTTGGCCCTCGGAAGCGGAAAGCGTTTGCCCACCATCAGGGGCCTAGCCGCGGTCTGGAGCCTGCAAACTTTTGAACTTGAGGAAGTCCTGGTCTGATGCGGTAATCCACCCCCCTCAAGAATGCTCAGGCCTCTCCCTGGTGGGTTTTACTTTTTTCCCGGTGACCTTGCTTTCACTAATGTATTACTTCTTGGTACGTTACCGTTACTAACTCAAAATCAATACCGACCTCCACATCTGTAAGGTTTTATCTGAAGGCAAATCTCCCGGCTGTCCGTCAGGCTGAGTGACAGCCGTCCCTTCCTCTACCCCCCCACCGGCCCTGGCCCCCGCCCGCCCCCAGCCCCTTCCTCCCCCTCTGCTCTAAATCAGTCCCAGCCTCCACCAGACTAAATCAATAAGGGGCTGGCTCACACCCCCCTTCTGCCGCTGGGGAGAGGCTTGCAGGTTTGGGGGGGGCGGGTGGGAGCCGAGGGAGCCCCGTGCCAGCCCCCCTTCCACATCCTCTGCTCCCCGCCCCCTCCCCCGGGACTTGCTGGCGCTCCCCTACTTTAAAAGAAGGGGCTGGGAGAAATGTAATTAATTCCCTCCGTTCCTGAGCTGGCCCGCAGGGCCTGGGGCCGTGGAGGCTGAGCCGAGAGATCTGCACCCTCTGTGATAACCGCACGTGGCTCTGGGAGCAAGGCTGCAATTAGAAGGGGTGATCGCCATCACGGGGGCTCCGTGGCAGGGTTCGGGGTAAATGAGCGGGGGGCCTCCGCAGAAGGTAGTGGAGGGAGGGAGGGGCAGGGGCTGAGACGGATGAGGTCGGGACATTGGACCTGGAGGTGAGACTGGGGCTGGAACGGAGCCAAAGCGCGCTCACGCCGGCGGGCAGGTGGGCAGGCACACCGCGCACTCCGGGTGCAGAGGGTCTGCAGTAGCATCCACGCTCTGCTGCGGGCTAGCTGTGGCCCTGGGCAATTTCCTTAACCTCCTGGGCCTCGGTTTTCTCATCTGTATAATGGGAATGATAATGCTTGTAGCTGCCTGTAGGGTCGCTGAAAGGATTAAATGAGTAAAACGCATTAAGACGGCACCTGGCACACCACTGGTTCTCGGTAAATGCAAGGTCTCCCCCGCCTCCCCCACCCGTTTGGAAGGGACCTGGCCGCAGGCAGAAATGATTCCTCGAGGACAGACTCAGGGGATTGCTGCTCCCGGTCGGGGACTATGTTGTCATCATCTCTTCTTCCCCAGGGGGCCTGGCGCACAGTGGGTGCTTTCTGGACAGAGAATTAATGACTCCGCCTCCGTGAGGGAGTTGTGGTCTCAGCTCTGGAAAGGCAGCCAGAGGTGTGTCCCTTGGATACGCCCCGCCCCCCTTTGGCCTGCATGTGCTCATCGGCCGTGAGGGTGCGTGTGTGTCAAAAGACATGGGGCCCTGACGGGGAACCTGTGAAGTCTCCAGTCGAGTCGTGGCACGGCCCAGAACTCACACCGGACAGCCCACACCTGAAGCCAGGAAGGGGATCCGTCACTCAAAAACGCCTCTTGTCTAGTTGGCCAAATAGCTTTCCATCAAAACTCCGAGGACCCAGCATGAAAATCCTTCACAGGTGCATCTCTCCTTTTCTTAAACTCATCAGGACATCGAGCATGCGCACACACTTACATGGAAACACGCCAGAAGACACCCATGAAACCCGAGAGGCACCTTGAGACTGCTGCATTTCACATGTGGGGAAACTGAGGTTCAGAGAACGGAGGCACTTGCCCTTGGGGAGCGCGTCACCACACAACCATAGCAGACGAGCAGGCCGGTGGCCCACTGCCTCTCCCCTCCTGCCCCCGCCTCAGGCTTGGCTCCGAGAGGGCCCGCTGGCTCGGGCACTGACCATGCTTATCTCCAAGCCTCATGTCCTCACGTCCGGTAGCAGCCCCGGCCCGCCCTCTGATTCACTCCCTTGGCTCCCACTAGAGGTGGAAGGAGCGGGCATGTTTGGGGGGCAGCCCGCAGACAGGAGGCGAGGAAGGGCACGGCTCGCCGGGAATGGAAAGCCACGTTTGTCTGGACTGGGTGAAGCAGGTCTCCTTTGGGCCTAGGACTGTCCCAGGCTGGGACAACCCAGCTCGCGACTTGCCCTGGTCCCTAAGGGTCTGAGGCCTGGAGTCCGTCCCCGTGTCCATCTCTGTGAAAAGAAGGGCCAGGGCCGCTCTCCTGGGGTTTGTCCACTCAGTCACTGCTTCTACACCTCGGCTGCCCAGTGGAATCCGTTGAAGAGTCTTTCAAAATGCGGATGCCCAGGCCCCACCCCTTAGAGATTCTGGTTCGTTGTTCTAAGGATCTGGGCACCAGAATTTTTTACAGCTCATTCCAGTGCATTCTGAGGGGCAGCAAGGTTAAGTACCGCACTGTCCAATCATCACCACGATTGCTACGCACACGCCATAAAGCTATACATCCACACTCAGGTGGGGGGAGACACGAGCACACCCCGGCCCCCCCAGAATGCAACAGACGCTCATGCCGGAACACCCACAGCCTCACACAGGCTCACGCGAACACACGAGAATGCACATGAAAACACCCCCCACCCCCATGCACCGCGAGGCCACACACGATCCACACGCTTCAGAGGTGTGCAGGTGAAGTCACACACACAGCTGTGTGCACTGCAGCCTCATGACTCCGTGATCGCCAGCGCACCAAGGCTCGCCCGTGTGCCTCCACGACCCCTCCTCCAGCCGGCAACAGACACCAGGATACAAGTCACACCAACAGACCCCTGCCCGTTCCGCCGCCTGTCCCCAGCTCCACGCTGGGATTAGTGCCAGCGGGAAATCACCCACCCAGGCGGCCCACCCTTTGCCTCCCCACTCCCCCTGCTCCGTTCTGCTAAGAGGATCCGGCCCCCTCCCCTCTCCCTGCCCCCTGTGGACAGCGGTAATGGGCTTCGGGTGCTGACTTTGAGCTTCCAAACAAGATTTTCTGCAGGTTTCCCTGTTCCCGCCCCCTCTCCCTGCCATCTCTGGCTCCTGGCCCTCTCTCTCCCTGCACCCTCTCCACGTACGTCCACAGCTCATCCAGGGGCGCCCGCCCACCAGGAGAGCCGACGTCCAGGCCTGGCCTTCCCCCGACCTCAGCCTCAGCCCCCGACTCCAGTCCCTCACCCACCACCAACACCCGGCTTCCCAGGGAGGGTCCCCTGCATCTGCCTGCCGTCCCTCTCTGCACGGGCGCAGCACCCTGGTTTCCAAAGCATTTCCCTTCCAGCCTGGAACCGAGCTAGGAAGCACTGCTAGCCCATTTTTCAGCTGAGGAAACTGAGGCTTCGGGGCTCATCCAGAATTTCCTAGGGGATGCCTGGCAGCGTGGGGGCAAGAACACCTGCCCTGGCCGTGCTCTTCATTACCACTAAAGGCTCTGGGCCATTCTGACTCGTGTGTGTGTGTGCTGAGCAGGTGTCTGTGGGACTATCACATGTGTGAGATTAGTGTGTGTGTGTGTGTGTGTGTGTACGCACATATGTGCACGTGGGAGCACTGTGCATGGTCTATGTGTGAATCGTGTGTGCTTGTGAGTCGGTGTGTGCATGCGTGTGGATACTATAAGTCTGTGTGCCCGCATGTGTGATTGTCATGTGTATTGTGTGTATGCGTGTACTCAAGTACTTCACGTGTACTCCCATGTAGGCACGTGTCCTATTGACCTCTCTCGCTGACCTCACCGAGGGCATGGGGACTCAGGGGCTCAGAGGGCACTCAGTGAGCACCGGGTCATTGGCTGCCCTCTCGGACCGGGCGGGGGGTCCCCACCCCACCCTCTGGCACGTCATCTCTTCCTCCCCCGTGGGAGTTCAACATGCGAGGCCCGAGAAGACTCATAAGACAGGCCGTGTGTGACCAAAGAGGAATCTCTGCAGAGAAAGGATTCAGCCGAGACTTCGGTAAGAGCCTCCTAGCGTGTGGAGGGCGAGGCTCTGAGAGGCTGAGCCACAAAAGGCTGTGAAGTCTCAGGTTTGGGCCTCGCCCAGAGAAAGCTGTCAGCCCCACTGTGGCCCCGCCTTCCGCCCTGGACACGGAAGGATCCGGACCCTGGATCTGACCAGGCACTGCTGCGGGTAGACTTGGTGTCCTACTCCTAGTGCCCGGCACATAGTAGGTGCCCAACAAACATCTGTGAGTGAGTGAATGTCTGGCTGAATTCCCGAATGCGTGAGTGAGTGAATGAGGGAGTGAATCCATCTGTTTATCCCCAGCACAGGGCCTGGCACAGAGGTGGATGAATGCGAAGAACCACGGAGGGTCTTGTGGATACTCGCACCCAGCCCTCAGCTCAACCGATTTCAGAGCCCCCTCCCCACCACAGGGGTCCCTGGAGGCTTTATCTGAAGACTCTGTGGAAGTGAGGGGCTGCACAGAATGACTTCCCACTCATTGTCCCACAAGCTACAAACTCTGATACATACACACACACACACACACACACACACACTTTCAATGTTCTGCCTACAAAATGTCAATCTCCAAAAATCTAGAGATGTAGAAATATCTGGAAACCCTGGAGAGAGCCTGAATTCGCCCCCCTCCCTTCCTGGGAGGATCCTGGGCTGGCCCGAGTCTGGAGGTGTCTGCGCCGGGGCGGGTCCGAGGGCCCCTGGCCGCCGGAGGGCGCCGGAGCTGGTGGGGCTCGGCGGGACGCAAGACCGTCTCCGATGGCGCGATAATGGCGGACGAGGGATTAGTGCGGCTCTGCTCGGAGCGGCAGCCGGGCTGGAGAAGGAAGGGGCCGATCGCTGGGAAAGATATGACTATTTAAAGATAATGATTGCATAAATTTAATTAGCACACTTTCACGCGGCAAATGGCCGTTTTGTAATTAATGTATTTGGCCTTACTAAGCATGAAAGATCCCATCTCCTCCCCCTCCCCTCCCGCTCCCCCTCCTCTGCGGGGCCCCTAATGAAAGACAGAGAGCAAGTGACAGAAACAGTTTGTCAGCGGCTCCAGGTGTCAGGGGCCTAATTGGCTGAGCGAGGGGTAGGGGGGAGGCAGGAGGGCCGCGGGGGCTAGGACGAGCGCCCCCTTGGCTCACCGGGCCCAGGCTGGGAGAGGAGGAGGAGGAGGATGGGGAGGCCTGGGCTCTTGGACCCCTGGCGTGGGGGTGGGGGGCTCCCCCTCCGTAATTGCCAGAGACGTGAACGCAGATTGGCCGTGGCAGGGAGTGAGTGGTGGCAGGCAGGCCTCGTTAGTACCTGGGCGCACAAGCTGGCACATATCACCATGCGTTAGGGACTCGTGGCCGTGATAGCCCAGGCCCCGCCTGCCCTCTCCCGGGAGCCAAGTCCTTTCAGTGGAGGGAAGGAATGAGTGATCCTCAGTTTCCTCTTCTATAAAACGGCCTCTGGTTATCAAAAGGTTCAAAAAAAAAAAAAAAAACCAAACCATGTCTTCCATGATTAAGCACCTAATAAGTGCCAAGTACCTACTATGCGCAGGCAGCACCGCCATTTACTCCTGACCACAGCTGTCAGAAGGATGGGCATTTTTATCTTCCTGAAATTCAAATGCATTTTGCCACCCCTAGTGTCTTTCCACGACAGCGGTGGCAGCCAGGTGGCCTCCCTGTCAGGTAGCAGTGGTGACAGTGCGAAGCTTTCGCTGGCGCCTTCCCATGAGATCAAATAAGGGCCAGCATCGAACTCTCTCAGGTCCAGTGACGGAGGGGTATTTGCTGCTCTGTGTTCAAGATCAGAAAGCTGAGGCTGTGGGAAGCTAAGTAATTGACCCAAGCCTGCGAATTACTTAGTAAGTGGTGGGCTAAAACGTCAACTCAGAAGATGTAACTCCAAAGCTGATGCTCTTTCTAGCGTCTGCCTACAGGACCCGCTTCAGGGCCGGCCCAGCACCTGTCGTGCTCCACGGCGCCATCCTCCCCTGCGGGCTGGCTGAGGTGCTCCACTGGCTCCATAGGAAAGCCTCTTTCTCGGGGGGCTATAGTTGTCCATTGCAATAAATCCCTAGAGGCAGAGCTGCCCGATTTTCCTGTGGGGTGACAGGAAACTGCGTTGAGAGGATTCTAGCCACCACGCCTGACCTTTGTGCCATAGCCACCTTGAGCCTGTACACGCTCTCGCCTCTGACCGTGACCTTCCATCGTCTTTACGTGCTGCCCTCTGCCAGCCCCAGGCACTGGCCCTGCCCCGAGCAGCCCAGCCCCTGCCCGGTTTTCTCAGAGGAAGCCAGGGCAGGGAGGCCTTGAGCCAGCCTCGGCCGGGCGGAGTAGGGCCCAGCAAGCCCTCTCCCTGACCAAATTCAATTTCAAAGCTTAATGAGTTTGCAGAGGAGCCGGGTGCGCTCGCCGACACCGCTCCTTGCCGGCTGGGTGGTTCCCGCCCTGGCCACCGAGCGCGCGGCAGCCGGAGCAGGGAGAGCCCTGGGCTCCGGCGAGAGCGGCGGGGGCACTGAGCGAGTGAAAAATGTCAGAGCAAATTGCTCTTGACAGCGTTAATATCTGCACCTCATAGCAATAATTACATGTAAATAAATAGCAAAATGACACTCAGCTGGAGGCAGCTTGGGGAGGACAGACGCTGCTAAGGACCAGCTGGGGACCCAAATGCTCTGCTCCATCCTCTCCTTTGCTTTCCATCTTAGAGTCTCTGCTTCCCCCCCTCTCACCTTCAACCAGATTCTTGCTGCAGCACAGGGCAGGGACCTCTGCAGGAACAGGTAGACCCAGGCATCCTCCCAGCCTCTTTCTCTCCTTTCTCCCTGAGCATCTCACTCCTCCTAAGCGTCTCTGTGGAGATGTGGCTCTGAAATCCACGTCTCTGCCCTGACCTCTTGGCCTTGACCTCCACACCCCGCCCCCAGCCCCATCCAGGCCCTCCTCCTGCACTCCCTGTTTCTGTCTGTGACTTCATGACCCTCCTGGTCACTCACACGGTCGACATTCAGCCCTCCTCTACTCCTCCCTCGGTGCCCACACCCACGATACCGCGCTATCACGTGCTGTGCAAACTCACGCGCCGAGCACGGTGCGACTTCCTGGGGAGTCAACTTGACCCGATGCTAATTTATTTCATTATTATGGCCAACCGAGATGGCTCCACTGTGGCAAAGAATGCAAAACGAGTGTGCGTTTTAAAGATAATCTGTGAACATCTGTGATACCCCCTGCAGGGCCTCTGGGGGAACACGCTCCACTATCATCAGGGGTACTTTGGGCAGAGGTTTGAGAAGCCCGGTGTGGAACCAGAATGGCTCCTTGTGCCTAGTGTGAGGGCCTATTAATTAGTTGGCTTGGGTTTGTGCTTTTGTCTGTAAAAGCAAGGGCCAGGCCTTACCCATGTCTGGACTCCCAGGACTTAGCAAAAAAGGCCACTGGAGATGGTTGAGGGAGGAAGAAAGGAAACGGAAAGGGAGTAAAAGGCTAGGAGGAGGGGAAGGTAGGGAGGGAAAGGTGCAGGGAGGCTGGAGATAGGGAAGGAGGAGCGGCTGCCTAAGGAGGTGACCTTCTCCAAAGGCGCCCAGGTGTGCCCGGCAGCTGGACTGAATGCCGGGCTCCACTGTCCCCTCCCCAGAGGGGCCCGGGGGTCATCCTTCTGAAACCCAGCCTCCCCTCCCCTCCTTGCCTGCGCTGTGGAGAGAGTTCCCACCAATCAGGGCTCCCCCTGCCAGGGAGGAGCACGGAGGGCCCTCCAGCTACCTGGGGCCCTGCCTGCCTCACCTGCACGGGGCAGGCGACGCAGGCTCATTCTTTCCTAAACAAATACCTTCTCCGGAGCAGCCCCCGAGTCCCACACCGTCTTGTTTAGCACACCGACTAATCCACTTATCGAGGATAAAGCGTCTGTGAATCCTCGTTTGATAAAGGCAGCCACAAAATTAGCAGAAATGTGCCCTCGGCTCCGACGTACCAAACAAACAAGAGGCTGGGGGGGCTGCGCGGAGAGACGTCGTCTCCTTTCAGTCTCGGGGCCCGGGAGAGATGCGGGAGAGATGCGGGAGGAGACAGTGACTGTCTGGCTGGCGCTGTGGGCTGGGCAGGGGAGGCGCTGCCGTGGGGTGCACGGGAAGGGGGTGGGCAAGGTGGGGAAAGGAACCCTAGCGGAGACCCCAGTGCCGGCCTGGGTCCCCAGCTCCCATCACCGCCCGACTCCATGGCCCGGCTGCTGCACCCACTCGTAATTCTAGCCCGGAGTCCTTCCACGCTCCCTCCATGCCCCGCGGCATTCCAGGTATTTCACGTGTTTACCCATTTATCCCTCATAACAGCCCTCTGGAGTAGGACTACACCATCCACGTAGTATAGTTGAGGAAACTGAGGCACGGAGCGTTCCAGATCACACAGCCGATAACCACCGTTTCTGACTAGACAGTGAGATTGCCCAAGTGTTACGATCTCCTGTTTAACTTAGGGGGTGGTGCTCCAGTTCCACCGGGACCGACTGGACACTCAGCCCCCATCTCCAACCACGGTCCCCAGCTCTGACAGCGGTCCCCCGACCCACCCGGCCCCACCCCCAACTGCCTCTGCTCCGTGCCCCGGCCGCACGGCACAGGGCCTTCGAGCGGCCGAAGCCTGCGTGCCCCCGGACACGGCCTGGTGAGTCACCAGCAGCCGAGCTACCCGCGTCCACCATCGCTGACCCCGCTCTCAGGGCTGCGGGGCCTCCCAGCGGCCTCTCTGCTGTGCCCGCAGGAGCTCCGGGCGCTCTGCGGACACGGGCCTGCTCACCGCGGCACCAGCGGTGTTCCCCACCACTGTGACGCCGATGGGGACTGAAAACAGAGACTCGCACGCCAACTCAGTCGGCTGGCTCATCTGAGGTGGCTTGGAGGAGGGGTCTCTTCTCCGCTGCCAGGGCTGGGGAAGGCTGACAAAGAGGCGGGATGGGGCGGGGGTGGTTCTGGGAGGCTTGGTCCTGGGGCAGCCCACACACCCACCAACTCTGGTCTGGGGAGGAAGGCTGGTCCCAGGCCTCGGGGGTGGGGACATTAATCACAGGGGAGCACCTGTCAGGGTGGCATCTGGAACTAAAGGGAAACACTTGGCAAAAGGGCAGGACTTCTCACCCCGGGCTCTTGGGGCCCTGGGACCAACCACCGCCATACCAGGAGGCCGGGGGCCAGGGGTGGGACATCTGGGGTTTGGGCCCCGGGGAAGCCCGCTTTGCTTGGTAAAGGTCCCTGCCACGGACCCCTGGACTGGGGGCGGGAGAAAGACGCATGCAGAGAGGCTGGGCGCTGGCAGGTTACCACGGAGGAGGAGAAGGAAGGGACCACACTGCTGCTGCTGTTCCCGCTGACGGAGGAACCCAAGGCGGGTTCCCTCCCCAGGGCAGCCAGCTCGGAGGTGGCGGGCCGGATTCAATGTCGGGTCTCTCGAGGTTGCTGTCTGCACACCTCTGTGTGTGTGTGTGTGTGTGTGTGTGTGTGTGTGTGTGTCTCTCTCTCTTCCTGTTTCTGTCTCTCTCAGTCTCCGGGTGTCTCTCGCATGTGCTTCTCTCCTGGACTCTCTGTCTGCGCTGCCGCTCTGTCCCCGACTTTCCTCGACAGTTCCGAGTGTCTGCCTGGACCCACCTCTCTTCTCTCCACTGGCACCTCACACCCTGATTCTCGCTATGGGTCTCTCCGTCCACTTCCACATCCTTCTGCACCCGCAGTCGGAGGTGCCTCCCGAATCAGCCCCGGAGCTCATCTCCCCGGGCTCGCGCCCTCGTCAGCTGGCTGTGAGCACAGAGAAGAGTCATGGGGCTGCGGGAACCCTCAGCCCTGCCTCCCCGGCCCCCTGCTTCTTCCTGGGGACCTCTGGGGGAGGTGTTCAGCTTCCCTCCCAAGCCTCTTCCCTCCTCACTCCTCTACTGTCCTGGGTGGTCAGTCCACTGTGGGTCACTGCAGGGAGCTGACGGGGCGTCTCAGAGCTGGGGAGTTGGGGAGGGCACGATGAGGTCATTTCAGCCTGTGCTTCTCAGATCCCCTGGGGTCTTGTTCAAGGGCAGACCAGACCTGGAGTAGCGGGAGTGTGGTCTAGGCCCTGCCCGCTCCGGCAGCCCGGCGTGGAGGAGGGAATTCAGTCCCGCACGGGGCAGACCTGACCGGTGGGCTCTGGCAATGTCTCTTGCTGGGGACCCTGAGTCTGCAGAATGGGTGCGATGACTCCAGGCCCTTGGGGTCAGGGAGGATCAGACGGCTGCAAATACCTGCCTGACCACTGGGTCTGAACAGATCAGGGGTGACAGGAACTGCTGCTGAAACAGTGACCCTGCGACTTTAAGGGCCAAAGCCAGACAGGACCCTAGGTGGGACAGCTGCTCCTCCCCAGAGACCTAGAGAGGGAGGATGGAGGTGACTGGGGGTGCAGTCAGCAAGGAACCTGGGGAGTTTGGGCCTGGGGGGGCATTATCGCAGGTGGGGATGGAAGGTGGTCCCAGGGGTGGGGCTGAGGAGATTCTGCTCCAGCCTGGACGCAGCCCTTTTGTAGAAGACCCTTCCTGAGGCCCTCACAGGACCTTAGTCCTCCCGCACTCTCTGGTGGCCCCACAGACCAGCATGACGGGGGACAGGAGCCGGGCAGGGTGGGGGGCCCTCACACATCCCCGTCGCGTCTCTCCTTCTCCTGCCTGGTGCTCCGTGCTGGGGAAGGTCTCCCGGGGCTTAGTGTTGGGGCGGGGCTCGTCTGGGCCACCCGGAGCAGAGCAGCAGAGATGGCCGCAAAGGCTGTCCCCCGCCCCCCTGAAATGATGTGGCCACTGCCACACCCGCCAGGCCCTCAGACAAGCCCTGCTAACCCCAGAGTCTTCCTTGGCAGTGGAAAGAGGGGGGCTACGGCCGGTGTCTCTGTTTGTAAAAGGAGGCCGTGGCTCCGCTATTCCGAGGGTGACTTCTGGCTTGAAGATTGCCGGACATGGGATGCCCATTCCATTCAGACGGCCCCTCCCCCGGATCGCTGCCCAGAGAGATGGGGAGAGGGGGTCGGGGTGCTGCAGCAGCAGCGGGGTCGAGGCGAGGCTCCCCAGCCCAGGGCTGCGGATGCGCGTGCCGGCGCTCAGACCCGCGGCCCCCCTCAGACGGTGCCGCCTCTAACACCCAGATCCCCCAGGCCCGCAGGAGACCCACTGGGTCAGCCCGTCAGGTGGAGCCTGGGAACTCAGGTTTTTAACAGGTTCTCTGACAGCCCTGACAAAACCAGGTTCTGTCCGCACCCCCACCCCCACCCCGGAGACGGTGGGCTCACTGCTTTGTACAAGGCTGCCCTTTCCTTCTGTTTTTTTTAGATTTATTCTCATTCAAAAGAGAGAGGAAGAGAGAGAGACATCGATCGATCGGTTGCCTCCCACATGCGTCCCAACTGGGGACTGAACCTGTAACCCAGGCATGTGCCCTGACTGGGAATCAAACCAGTGACCTTTTGGCTTCGGGACGATGCTCCAACCAACCGAGCCACACCGGCCTGGGCACCCCTTTCCCCTTCCCACCCCCGGCCGGTTCCGCCGTGAAAAGCCCTTCCTCATCCTGAGCTGAATCCGCTTCCCCATGGCGTCTGCCGGCTTCCATCACCCCAAACACCCTGGCTCTCTCTGTCCCAGCAACAAACAGCCCCAAGGGGGGCTCGGGCGGGATGGGGAAGGTTCCCTTTTGGCCTCACTTTATATAACCTGATCACCTAACCACCAAGGAAAGAGCTTAGGAAGCAAAGGTAGACCTCCAGGTGGTCCCTCCAGCCTAGCCAGGCCAAAGGTATTCATTCCCCTTGGCAGGAGGGGGCCGGGGGCCGCTGACACCCCTCCTCGGCCCCTGCCTGGGGCATCCCCTCCTCTCTGGAGGCTTCTGACTCCCGGCTCACTTGCTTGCCTCTCATGGAACTGACTGGAAAGTCCTTGAAGGCAGGGGCCACAGCTGGGC